GCTCTTTTTCCCTTTTATCTTATTGGGATGTGTTGTTTGTATTTTATTCAAAGCAGGGATGACAACTGATAGCAAAAAGCACAAGAGGATCCGTATGAGTTATAGTACTAGTGTATAATTGAAATGTTGAATTCTCTGGGCTCTCTTCGTTTGTTTTTATATGTTCAGTATTCTAAAAATAGATTTTCATTTTTACTTATTACTTTTAGTTTATCAAGAGAAAAATAAATTTTTTTGTTTTACCTTTAGCATTAATTTTTCAAATCCATTAAGACCATCCACAAATTAATATGGATATTATGGCAAATTATACACTTTATTTATTATTCGTTGAGATTTGTATAAATTAGCAGCTAAGTGAACGGATGGAGTAGTAGCTAAATACCCAATTTCCATGTGTGTTGAATTTTTGATAAAGACTTTGTTCTCTACTCCCAACAACTGTGAGCTAGCTACCTTCTTCATGATTGTCTTTCATATACAGTTTCCTTTCTCTTTCTTCTCGCTCATATGCCTTCTTCAAACGAAGCACTAGGTCCCAATTCCCAAGGGGATGTATAGTCATAAATAAAGTCACAATCTAACTAGTAATGTCACAAGTTCGAACAAGGCAAGCATGAGGGTAACTGCCCTATTTCTTCTTTTCATCTTGTGTTATTTTAATGTAGTTTGGTGTAAAGAGAATGAGACGACATGACACCAAACAGAATTATGTGGCATGATCATAAATTCTGAAATTTCGAAAAAAGAAGAAATATGTCAATTTATACGTGGTGGGGAAAGAAAATCTAGTACTAATACGATCAGTGACTTAAGAAACTACAACTCATTAGACATCTTCTTGTTTTATTTCCTCAACCCAACAAGTATTTCCCTACCATAGATATTTTAAATGGACTGGTATAATCTTTGTGTCCAAATCAGTGCCTCGTCATTTCCCCTGCCCAGAAAGGAAAAGAGAAAAGAAGAAGACTCTAGGTAGGTAGCCTTTGTACACTAGCCTATTCTTCTGGCAACTACTCAAGCCAATGCACTAACTAAATCTGCCTGTAAATTTCTGCTTTTTGGATTATAAGTTATAATGAAAGCAGTGACATCTTTGATATTAAAATGGAATTTTAATTAGTTATATTAACAGTGTATGGTTTTTTCATACTAGTAGTGTAACTTAACATTTTTATAGCAAGTGAGTTACCACTTTATCATCGGTTTATTTTGCAATTCACATATAATTACCTTTTAAGTTATCTGATTATATAAATATTTTTTATAGTATCAATCGGAAAATCGTTGTAGCGCGAAGAGTGTCACTTCTTTAATTTGTCTTTTCAAATTTAATTTGAAACACTGTATATGCGAAAATTGGCTTCTAGCCTGTTTGGCCAAGCTTGTAAAATCAGTTTATTTTAAAAAGTACTTTTATCAAAAATAATTTTTAATTTAGGTTCTACAAATTAATTTGAAAAATACTTTAGAGCAGCAATTAGTATTTGACCAAGCTTTTAAAAAGAGTTTCTAACTACATAATTTTTCTAAAAAATGCTTTTGAGAAAAACTACTTTTTCTGCTTCTCGGAGAGACTATATCTACTTCTACTCAAAAGCAGTTTTCTTTCTAAAAACTTGGTCAAACACCTTAACTTTAGGAAAAAAAATATTTTTCACCAAAAAAAACTTGATCAAACAAGCTAAAATCGTGAGGCACCATAATCTATATGAACCGTTAATAAGACTCGTGCACCAAGAGTTAATTGAGCTTATTACTGTGCAATGAAATTAGACCCTAGATAACTACCCCGAATAGAAATTAAACTCAGGCGTCGTGTATTTAGGCTATAGGAGTCACCGAAAACCGCTACTACACAAGGGACGGTGACGTGCCATGATTTGCGTCTTATTATTCTTTTTGTTGGAGTATATGATTTAGCCAAAACCTGAGCATGAATGAGAAGGAAAGGTTGTAGAAGCATATACGTGCACAACATTAAAAAGTTGGCCTTACAAGTATTTTAATCACCGCAAGTATATGCTGTTTGTGTAGCTTGTGATAGCATATGCGCTTGAAATTGAAATTGAGAGGTAGTTTCCTATGAGAATATATCTCTCAGCCCCAAGTGTGTGCGTATAAATTTTTGTCCCTGATTCTCGCATTTCGTAAGTGAAATCAACAATTGTAAAAGTGAACGAAACTGTTCCCCGGGTCCACAATAAATGACAAATTTGCTTTTTATTTTGGTCCAAAATAAGTGTTCATATATATAATCAAGAAAAAATTCAATTTATATTTTCAAAATTACCCTTATGTACGTTTTCCTAAAAAGTCATTTACTTACTTATCACATTTGAGAAGAGAAATAAGTGCTATTATAATCATGCTGCAACATTTAATTAAGGGTAGTTTAGCCACACTAACTATTTTTATCTAGAATTTAGTATTTTCTTAATGGGTGTGTCCAAAGCAAATTGGTCACTTATTGTGGGCCGGAGGAGTAATAAATTATTATAGCGCTCATTTGTACCCGATTATTTATTTTTCTTATTATTTATATATATTTATTTAATAAAAATTCTCAACGTGGCAACGCTTGGAGCGAGGTAGATAGCTCCTGCTCAAAAGTTATACCGGATTTAAGTTAAGTGCAATATACAACTTTTTTACACTAACAAGATAATTTAATTTATGATTATAACATATTATTACAATTTTTACTCACCTACGAGCCACCTTGAGTTCCCAGCTTTATTGCGACTTTTTTGGGGTCAACAAGCTTGTCCATAGCTAGGAAATATTCTTTGTCTACAAACCTCTTGAGCCCTGCTAGTACAGGCTCCAAAATGTATATGAAGGTAAGGTCTAGTCCCTCTTCGCCAACATTTTTTTGAACACAATGACAATAAAATCGTGACTCGTGTTTGTAGTTTAAAAAAAAGGAAAAAAAAAGGCATAGATACTTATCATAGGATTCTTTTCGTAATTGCCTTTTGACGAATATAATCGTGTAAACATTTTTACACTTGTCAACGTGCATTGAACACAATCGCAACTTTATATCTCATCAAAAGAAATTAATATATATAAAAGTATCTCCTCCACATGCGCATCCACAGTTAATTAGTTAACAAATGCTAAATGTTTCTAATGCATTACATATTGGAGGGTAAATTTACTACTATTTTAAACTTAATTCATTAGTTCTCAAACACTCTAAATGTCTATTTCAAGTGACAAAGTGAACCAACTACTTTTGTCTTCTGTTCTTTAATGACTTCACAATTGATCTGACCCTAATTACGAACGTAACGAGACGTGATGCTATTATATTTACATAAAATATAAAGTAAGTGGATGAACCTTAAAAAAAACTTTTAAGTATTCAACATCAATGCAAAGTAAAATTAAATTAACCATAGTTGAATACTAAACCTTTAAATCAATGACATGTTATAAATTTTCAATTTGTTGGTTTGATCATAACAGAGCAACATGAGAAGAACGTCTTCACCAAGTGTAAGGTCTATGTACAGTTTATTTATTTCACTTTGCTTCTGGAATAATATTATGTATCTTTATCACAATTTGCAATGTTCTAAAAAGGTCTAGTACTCTTGAAATAAATGAGCTTGATATTTTGAGATAACTCCAGAAAGCTGTCAAATCTTTTTCAGAAATGGTTTAAGCTTCAAACTACTCACCAAGATTTATCAAGATACAGGATCAGAATTCGTATCACAACTTCCAAATCTCCATAATGATTTACTTGTAAATTTAATCTGAACAAAACAAAATTAATTAGGCCAATAATTGGATGTGGACACTCTCCAGTTTTGATTCCCCGTGCTTCAACGCTATCTACTTTGAGCTTAGTATAATTAGAAAAAGATCAGTTATGATTAAGCAAAATCAGCTCACTAGAGGTAGGGGCGTGTTAAATGATATAAGGGTAGAATAGTCTTTTCAGGTTATTCAGTTATTAACGTCTTAATAGTTGTCGGGATGATTAGTTAATTAGTTACAAATACACACATATGTAGATAATATAAATACATGTATACAGCTCATTAATGGAATAACAAAAAGTATTCTTTCTTAGCTAATTCTGTTTTCTCCTCTTCCTTCTCTATGTGAGTTGTCTTCTTCATTCTATCATCTGAATCTCATTTGAATCTATACACGGATTACATCATGGTATCACAGCATAGAAGCTCAAAAACTTAGCTTCAATTCGATCCTATTTCCAGACTCTACTCCATCTCTGTCATTTCTGTTTTTTCTGTTTTTTTTTATGTGAAGAGTTGCAATTAGCAAATTCTTGAGTACTTGAATCTGCAAGAAAATGGCGATTCCAAATGAGCAATTGGGTCAGACACTTGGAGTTCAAATTGATGGTGATCAATTAAACCAAAATGCTAGGAATCAAGCAACTGGGATTGACTATAATCATCCACTTTTTTTATCTCCTGCAGATGTAAGCGGTATTCAAATAATTTCGTTTCAATTGACTGGGATTGAGAATTATTCCATCTGGTTTAGGTCCATGCGAGTAGTCCTGCTAGGTAGAAATAAGTTGGGTATGGTCGATGGTACATGCAAGAAAGAAAACTTTCCAGAATCGATGTGGAATCATTAGGAAAGAGTCAATGCAATTATGTTGTCTTGGATTATGAATTCAGTGGCAAAAAGACTGCTTGGAGGAATTATGTACGCATCGAGTGCTCAATTAGTTTGGGAGGATCTTTCAAAAAGATACAACAAAGTTGATGGGTCAAGAACCTACAATCTGCATAAGGAAATTGCAACATTGTCACAAGGCACAGCTTCTGTATCAATCTATTTTTCAAGGTTGAAGGACTTGTGGGAAGAATTTGAGGCTTTAGTGCCAGCACCTGGCTGTGACTGCCCAAAAATCAAGAGAATTTGTGGTGAATTTGCAGAAGTTGAAGTTATATCAATTCTTGATGGGGTTAAATGATTCATATTCTCGAGCAAGGAGCCAAATCTTGATGAGAAGTTTCATTCCCACAGTCAATCAAGCGTATGCATTAATTGTAAGTGATGAGGGACAAAAGTCTGTTGCTGCAGCCTTAGGAATTTTGGGGTCTAATCCTGCAAGTCAGGTAGGAAACTATGAGATTGCTATGTACTCGAAAGCTGGAGGAAATCAAAATCAGAATCAGAGATTTAGAAGGAATTATAATGTGTACTGTAATTTTTGCAAAATGAAGGGACATAGTAAAGAAAATTGCTATAAGATTGTGGGATATCCTGCAGATTTTAAGAACAAAAGAAAAGGAAATACTGGTACAAATGCAGCCTACAATGTGAATCTAATAACAAAGACCGATCACTCTAATGATCAGCAACCACTTATATTCAATTATGGGCAGAATACAAATGTGCAAGATCAGGTGAAAAATGAAAGTAGTACTCAAACTCAAGGCTCTAATCTGAATATGGAGAATACAGGTCTTGAGAACTATGTTCTCACAAAAGCACAGTATGAACATATTCTGCAAATGTTGAACAAAACCAATGTGTCAAGTTCGACTTCAACAGCTAATGTGGCAGGTATTGATACAACTCTATTAGTTTCTAATTGCCTTAGTCAGTGGATTATAGATACAGGAGCAACAAACCATATAGTGTCTGACAAAACCTTACTAGATGAGAAAACAGTAATTGAAACAAACAATCCAAAGAAAGTATTATTGCCAAATGGTGATATTACAACTGTTACTCATACAGGAGCAAGTTCTATATTAGAAAATAGCACAATAACAAATGTGTTTTATGTTCCTCAATTCAAGTACAATCTATTATTAGTGTCTAAGCTAACCAAAGAGTTGCAATGCTCAGCAATATTCTTTTCTGATTTTTGTGTATTTTAGGAACTCTTCACTGGGAAGGTGAAGGGGATTGGTAAAGAGGATGGTGTCTTATACCTTCTATACGCTAATACAGCTGAAAGGAACAGAATGATTGCTCTAACTGCAAGAGGAAATGAGGCAACTGAGGTTAAACAATCAGATGTAATACTCTGGCACAGAAGATGTGGTCATGTGTCTACTCAGATTCTTAGGAAAATACTACCTGTAGATAGTGATACTATCAGGAATAGAATAAACAAATGCACAGTATGTCCTTGTGCCAAACATACTAGATTGTCATTTCCTATAAGTAGTATTCAGAGTAGTAGATGTTTTGATCTAATACATGTAGACTTATGAGGATCTTATAGAGTTGCTACATTGGATAGAAACAAGTATTTTTTGACTATTATAGATAATTTTTCAAGAATGACTTGGGTATTTTTACTAAAGCAAAAGTCTGATGCATGTGTCTCAATTCAACATTTCTTCAAATATGTCAGAACTCAATTTGATGTAACAGTGAAGACAATAAGAACTGATAATGGTTCAAAATTTGTGAATTATGTGTGTGAACAGCTATTCAAAGATTTGGGAGTTATACATCAAAGAACATGTGTATACACCCCTCAGCAGAATGGGGTAGCTGAGAGGAAACACAGACACATATTAGAAGTTAGAAGAGCTATCAGATTTCAAGCTCAAATACTAATTAAATTCTGGGGTCATTGTATATTAGCTGTTGTCTATCTAATAAACAAAATGCCCAATGCTGTCATTGACAACATATCTCATTTTGAAAGGCTACATAAAAGGAAGCCTTCTCTCTTGCATCTTAGAATACTAGGATGTTTGTGCTTTGCTAAAATTGTACAAGAACATGATAAGCTAATGCCTATAGCAAAGTTATCTATACACATGGGGTACTCAGAAGTTCAAAAAGAATACATTTTATATGATCCTACTACTAAGACATTCTTCACAAGCAGAGATGTCATTTTTAGAGAAGATGTATTTCCTTTTATAAAGAAAGATAACAAGTGTCAACAAATATTTATTGATACAACACCAAGTTTGGAAATACAACTACATGATTCTACAATACTATATCAGAATAGAACAGCAGCTACAAATACTAATGAAGATGGCAACACAGAACATAGTGAAATAGTTATGCAACACAATACAGAAGAAAACTATACAGATGCAGTTACAGAACATGCAGACATAGACTTCTACTCAGAGCCTACTCATTCTGATACTAGTACATCACGAATGCCATCTGACACTACTGAGATCCAAAATCAGCCTTTGCCTGAAATTAGGAAATCCTGCAGAGACAAACATCCTCTAGTCTAGATAAAGGATTTTGTTTCCCTCAATATCCATCAAAATGTACCATATGCTCTAAACAAGTATATTAGATATGAGCATCTCTCCTCTAAATACTAGTCCTATTTAGCTACAACTCCATCAGTTACTGAACCAACTAACTATTTTGAAGCTATTTTGGATCCTAGATGGATACAAGCAATGAATGAAGAGATAAAAGCTCTTGAGAATAATCATCCCTGGGATATTGTAACTCTACCAGAAGGAAAAATACCTATAGGATGCAAATGGATTTACAAAATCAAATACAAAGCTTCAGGAGAAATTGAAAGGTTCAAAGATAGATTAGTAGCCAAAGGCTATAGTAAAAAAGAAGGTATTGATTATCAAGAAACATTTTCACCGGTGGTGAAAATGGTCACAGTAAGAACTATTCTTGCCTTAGCAGCTTTAAGGAAGTGGCATATACATCAAATAGATGTATATAATGCTTTTCTGCAGGGTGATTTATTTGATGAGATTTATATGGATCTACCACAGGGATTTAAAAAGTCAAGGGGGAATAATGTGTGTAGACTTGTTAAATCCCTGTATGGGCTCAAACAAGCACCTGGACAATGGAATGCAAAATTGTGTGAAGCATAGCTGAGGTTCAAATTCAAATAAAGCCAGCATGATCACTCTCTATTCATCAGGAAAACAACTGAAGGTACTACCATAATCCTAGTATATGTAGATGATATGTTAATCACAAGTGACAGTCTGCATTTGATTGAGGAAACAAAGAACCTACTGCACAATGCATTAAAAATAAAAAATCTAGGGGAACTAAAATACTTCTTAGGAATTGAATTTGCTAGGTCCATCAACGAATAACTATGCATCAGATAAAATATGCTTTGAAATTAATTTCAGATGCTGGATTAGCTGCAGCCAAACCAGCAAGAACTCCAATTGATGTCAACATCAAATTAACCTCTAAACAATATGATGATCACATTAGTAAGGTAGAAGGCTCAGAAAAAGAAGACAGGTTAGTTGATCAAACTTGCTATCAAAGACTAATAGGAAAACTACTATACTTGACTGTAACAAGATCAGACATAGCATTTGGAGTACAAACTCTTAGCCAATTTCTTCAACAACCTAAAAGATCACACATGGAAGCTGTCATAAGAATAGTAAGATATGTGAAAAATCAGCCAGGTCAAGGGATTTTATTATCAAGCTCTCAGAACAACACAATCACAACTTTTTGTGATGCAGATTGGGCTGCATGTCCTCTGACCAGAAAATAAGTTACAGGCTTCTTAGTTAAAGTTGGTGACTCATTGGTCTCGTGGAAATCTAAGAAACAAACTACTGTATCTCGAAGCTCTGCAGAAGCAGAATACAGAAGTTTAGCCACAACAGTAACTGAACTTATTTGGCTATATGGATTATTAACAGAGGTTGATACAAAGCCACAGTTACCTATCAATATCTATAGTGACAGTAAAGCAGCTATACAAATAGCTGCAAACCCAGTCTACCACGAAAGAACCAAGCATATTGAAATCAATTGGCTCTTCGTAAGAGAGAGAATTCAACAAGGACTTGTCATCACAAAGTATATTGCAACAACAGATCAACATGCTGACATTCTTACAAAGGGATTAACCAAAGTACAACATGAATATTTAAAATCCAAACTAGGTGTTATCAATATTTTTTCACTACCTAGTTTGATGGGGAGTGTTAAATGATATAAGGGTAGAATAGTCTTTTCAACTTATTCAGTTATTAACGTCTTAATAGTTGTTAGGATGATTAGTTAATTAGTTACAAATACACACATATGTAGATAATATAAATACATGTATACAACTCATTAATGGAATAACAGAAAGTATTCTTTCTTAGCTAATTATGTTTTCTCCTCTTCCTTCTCTATGTGAGTTGTCTTCTTCATTCTATCATCTTCATCTCATCTGAATCTATACGCGAATTACATCAGGGTGTTCATGGGTCGGCTTTTTCCTGAAAAGAAGCCAAATTAAGTAAGTCGATTTTTTCAAATATTGGAACCAAATCAAACCAATTAATTTGATTTTTTTTATCAATTCGATTTATGTCGGTTTTCGATTTTTTCGGTTATCTATTGGTTTTCTTACATATGAGATATACACTACCAAACATATATTTCGACGACTACATTTTCAACGTAACACTATCAAACCAATTGCTCTTTGAGAAATTTATCATTTACCAAGATATTGATAATAATTGAATCAAATATTAATGAATAATTTAAGAACTCAATTAAAAATAGATTATTTTTAACATGAAATAAATTCTTGTACTTAGCAAAAGAAAACTACCAATCAAACTAGAATGTAAAGGTAAAGAACTAAATTATTATAATAGTAATGAACTATACTAAAAATGTAAATTATTAACATGTACCACAAAATTTTAGAAACTTTATACAAAATTATATATATGTGTGTGTGTGTGTGTGTAATAATATATTTTAAATAGTTACTTTTATAGTCTGTTTGATTCTGATTTTTTCGGTTATTTTTTTTATTAAAATCAAAAGAAAAACAATTTGATCGTTTTTAATATTCAAAACAAAAACCAAATCAAACCAAACTAAACCAAAAAAGTATCAATTTTTTGATCGGTTTGATTCGATTTTTCGAATTTTTATGTACACCCCTAACTAGAAGAACAAAAGCTAAACATGTGGAGTTACTCCAAACATAACTAGTGTAAGCACAAAATGTTGAGTTTCCCCATTGGTTTGGGATTAAATATTAGGCTCCTTATAAGGTACTAGGTAATATATTTTTAGATCATGAGCTAGCCGGGTTAAGTTAGATTCAAGGACTATTCTTATCACGGAATAAGCTTCTGTTTACACAACGACAATAACAATAACAACAACCCAGTGGAATTTCATAAGTGGTCGGAGTTTTGGGAAGATAATGTGTACGCAGACCTTACCCCTATCCTGGAAAACAGAAAGACTATTTCCGAAAAACCCTCTGCTCGAGAGATTGAATAGAAACAAGTAAATAACAACAACAAGGCTGCCTTGAGGTGCTAAAATTCTGTTTACACACTTTTTAAATTAATAAAGTTTCCAAAATGTTTTGAATGTATTTTTTTGACACACTTTCTTGAAATTCAAAGCTGCCTTGAGGTGCTTTTGCAACAAAAAAGAAATCCTTTTGTTAGAACTATAACAGCTATCTAAGTAGGATGGAAGCCCTTGGCCTCGTATAATCAGAAAATTACAAGTTCAAACCGTAAAAATAATCTTTAGCAAAAATGTCAAGTAATATGTATAATAGACTCTGTGAAGTCTGTCTCCTCCTAGAACTCCGCACATAGCCTGAACTTAATGCACTATACTACCTTTTTTGGCTATTTTATAATAACAGTTATTTAGAAGAAAATTTTCATAAAACATTATCTTTTAGTAGTAATTAGTCATCTATAGATATCATTTGCTATATTACTGATTATAGATACCTTTTATGCGGTTATAAGATGTATTTGATGTATTTAAGCTATTGTATTCATAAATACAGTAGCAAAAATAGGCGTGAATCAGGGAAGTCCAGCTAATCAGTTGTTGTATTCGAGTATATTCGACTGTATTCATGGAGTGAAACATGGGATTACAGCTGGACAGATTATTGTATTCGACTGTATTCACGGCATGAAATAGGGGATTATACTGTTTTAAAACAGAAAGTGAATCAATTAACATAATAGACTCCTAATATAACTCAACAAACTCAATTATAACACACAAAATTTGTATTTTCAGTTATAAAAAAGATTCTCAACCGAAAAATACCCCAAAAACATAGAAATCTTTAGAGAAATTATATAATACATCTGAATACATAAATTATATTAATTAAAAAAACTTATGAATACATTCATGGCATATAGTGAGACAGTGAATACAATGAAATACATAGAATACAGCGGGATACATTGAAATACAATGGGGAAAAAAGATAGTGAATACAATGAAATACATGGAATACAACGAGACACATTGAATTACAATGAAAAAAAAGACAATAAATACAATGAAATACATGAAAATATATTGAAATATATTAACAGAAAATCAAGTTGCTCAGCCCCAAACTCCATCGTCTTTGTTCAAGAACAAACCAACCGGATTATATGTCGGTGGCTGCTGTTCAATAATCAATTTAATGTCGGCGGCTGCTGTTGTTGGTGAGAATCTTGAACATAGCAATCTTCAAGAATCAGTGCATCTATTATAATGGGATGGGGGCTTTGCACAAGAATCAGTTTTGACTGATAATTAATATATCTACAAATCAAGGAAAGAAGGGACAGAGAAAGGGAGGGAGGAGAAAATCAATTGTATTGGCATAAAGATTGTTGGTGAGAATCTTGAACATAGCAATCTTCAAAATGAGGCATATTTCCTTGATTTGTAGATAACAGTAGTTAAGCAAGCCCAAGTTGAACACGAGTCTCTTGAGGCATGAAACGACGTCGCAATTAACTGTTACAAATTGATAGTGACATCTGGCAGCCGGTCTTTGAGATCTCCGCACTCACGTGTATGATCTTCTTTGTATTTGCGTTCTTGATAATTGAATTGAAAACACAGAGAAATACGAGAAGAGAAAAAGGCAAAAGCACCATTTTGACTAATGGTAGGTGATGTGGGTGAGAGAAATTTTGAGATTGAGTATCGTGTTTTCAGGGAATGGGGGAAGAGAATGGGATGTATCAAAGTAGAGAGAAAAATATAGCGTAACTGATTAGCGTATTTAGTGGCTTAGGGCTAGGAGGTAACCAAAATTAATATTTTGCTATAAACCTTAAAAGGTATTTATAGAATATAATTTTTTTAAATGGTATTTATTTAAAATAAATAAGATGTTAACATTTGCTGTATGAGGTAAAAATCTCATATTTAAACACCCTTTTCTTTGTCACAAAAATATTGCGAAGCAAGGGCCTAAGACTCCAGACAGCCCAAAACGGCCCACATATGGGAGGACATAATGTAACAGTAACCCTACATTTGTATGGTGAAAAATGTTGCCACCAGTGCTCAAAATCATCTAACCTCTAATTGACATTCTCGTAATTACTTTCAAGATCTACTTAGTAACCACCACATGATCAGTCCAGTTATATAATGTATAAATATAAACTCTTATTGCCCTAAAAATATTCAAAACGCAACTACCCTCCCATCTCATTGCCTGGTTGTCTCATCACCTGCTTAGATTCTGCTCTAGTCTTATTAACCACATTCTTGTCTGTATCTTCCTTCAAAAAGGCCACATAAGTTTGTAATATAACAAAAGACAGAATCTTTGGTATATTACAGACAGCACAGATAGATTTCTGCTGCGGTGTCCATTTGACCAGAAATCTTGTCTCACTCTCTTTTAAAATATTTCCAACCCTAACATGCAGGTGAGCTAGCTTTCTAATTTTCCTCATCAGATTATCCAATTTGTCACGTTCACTTCAATCTTGGAAGCAACCCATTATGCTGACTTTGTTCATTTATATATACACGTTTATTTAACAGGTCTTTCAAAGGCTATTCAAGACTGCAAATGAGACTACTACCTCTAGCCCTCCTATAAGCAAGAAAGAAACTGCAAATAGTAAGTGAAAAAGACCCTCTAATCCCTTTCATTTTCTTCTATTTTTGTGAGTTTCCTTATGGATTTAACTTTTATTCACTCATAGTGTAATGAAATTTTTACAATATGACCACAGTTTAGCCTGCTATAGTGGTTACTTGCGTTATTTATTGTTTTGACATTACGTGTAATCATCTTTTGAATGATCTGATAGTGTAAAATTTTAATATATTGTCGGTGTATAGAAGTTAAAAATCTTGCTTATTTTTTTTGGTTTTTAGATCAGAAGGTGAAATCAAAAGACATTGTTTTGTTTGGGATCTGTCGGGGGAGCACTAGAAGAAGAGGTGATAACAGTAGATCAAGAAGCAAGACCTTCAATATATTCAAAGCATTATGCAGGAATAAGGACATTAGTCAGGAGTATTTTTATAGCACAATTCATCTAAGGAGGGTAGAAAGTAATCCTAGAAGGCAACATTTTGAATATTGCATTAACATGAAAAACAAAAGTCTTACACGAGGATTAAGCATCTCTCACAAGGCTGCAGATTCAGTAGGACATACGCAAGTTTTGCCCATCACTGATTCTGCACCGCCATCATCATCATCGTCGTCGTCGTCGTCGTCGTCATCATCATCGTCGTCCTCAACAAAGGATAAAGCGCGACGCTCTAATGGAGAAAAGAAAGACGAAAAAGCTAAGGGAGATAAAGCTAAGACCATCTCTAAGATGAAAGAGCTACTAAGATGGGCTGTTGCTGCCAAATCTGACAAGGGCCGTCAATACATAGGCAGAAAGGTGAACATTTATTTCCTTTTTATTTTTTAAGAACTTTACCCTATGAAAAATTTCTTCCATGACTCAACAAAACATTTATCCATACATAAATGAACGAGATTTATATACACTGATAGTGTAAAGCTTTTTAAATTATCGATATATTTTCATTTGTTGTAACATATATGTTACGTGTCCTGCCTCATTTTCCAGGTATTCAACAACTTTCGCAATAGGGCAGCATTGAAGGCAGTACCAGATGATGATCAAATGAGTAATGAATCCCCCAAAATCAGCTTCAGATGGGAAGTTGAAAGTTGCTCCACAACTTCCTCTGCTTACTCTGCCATTTCAATGCCGGCTTCCTTAACCAAGAATGACCAGTCCTTCAATATCAATTTTCCTTCTGTAAAATCAACTCCTCTCCACATAGATCAGTGCCCTGCTGCTGGAAAATTGAACTGGATCACCTCAGATTCTGAATGTAAGGTTCCTTAACCCTTATAGTTGCTTTTAATTAGACTTAAGTTATTGTATATGCAGAGGTGGATTTGAAAGTGGGCAGGGCCGATGAGCTCAATCATCTGACTTTTGATCTTAAGGGTTTTAAATAAAATATATGGCCCGTTTCAACATACACACATACAGGGTTTGGTGACCCCTCTACTCCAAATATAGGTCCACCTCTGTGTATATGTATGCATACCGACAATGCATGAACTTTTTGCACTATTACTATGGTTTAACCTGTAATAGTTGGTTAGTTATCATTTTTAGCGTGTCGCCAATTATTGTATATCACTAGAAATTTACCTTAATTACTGTGTAATACTTTCTATACTATTAAATTTGTCTTTTTAATTATTTGTGCTTCCATAAATCCATCAATCTGATTGACTCTTGTTTCTTCTTTTAACAGTTGTAGTGCTAGAGCTATGAAGACTAGGATCCGAAGGAGTCATATCATCACTAAGTGCACGTTTATGGCCTGTTCAGTAATTGATGAGTAGAGATTTGATCCTATCGGATGTAATGACTACGAATTTTGGAGGGCGGATTAATGTAACTTTAAATCAATGATGTGAAGTTTAGATTTAATTTTCTATTGATCTTCTAACCAATGTTCTACTCTTTAATATTCCAATTCCAATTTATAAAAGAAATGGAATTATGATACATTAGAAGCATTTATTTGAAGAGGGATTTACTAACTAAAAACTTTAGAAGTACAATTAAATGGTCGTTAGATAGTTAAACCATCACTCATATGCAGTCATCATGAAAGATTTGAGAAAAATCCAGCCCCAATATTCTGCATCTCGTTTCTAAGATAGCGTAAAGTATAAGTTTTTGCAAAAATTGAGTTTAGAACGCACAAAAAAGATTTTGATGGGATTTTTGCAAAAACCTGTATATATATATATATATATGGCGAAATTACAGATGTTGAGGCATTTATTGCCCCAGGTATTTATAGCGTTTGAAATGTTCTTTTGAAGTTTGTCTTTCAAAAGAAATGCTATTGAAACAAACATTGAAAGAACTGCTAAAATGACTGGATTCCCAAAAAGTTTTTTCTTTTTTCCCTCCTTTGCCAATGCATCGGCTACTCTATTCTGCTCACTAAAGGTGTACTTGATCTTCAATATCACAGCTAACAAATCAGTTGCATGCATTCATAAACAATAGGTTCATAAGTTAAGCTTCCCTTACACAACATATTAACTACCTTTGTTGAATCTGTTGCAATTTTCAATGATGTAAGATTTTGTTGTGCTGTAATTTTTAGTCCCTACTGAGAGCCATTAGTTCTGCCTGGTTTTTAGTAGCATAAAGTATTCCCTCCATAAAGCCGATGATCCAGTCACCCCAACGGTTTCCAATGAGGCCACCTATGCCTCCCCGTCTTTGGGTTTCCCAGTAATGAATCATTAGTATTCACTTTGAATGACTCGCCAAAATTATCAATTTCCGATAACAAATCTCCCTCCAAATCCTCATTATTCATTTTTGAAAAGTTTTACTAATTTTTCAATTTTTCACTTTAATTCTCACCATTTTGATGTTGAAACTCAAATAAAATCATGAAGTATATATAGAAATTGAACAAGGGCACTTGCCCAATAATTGTAGATAAAATCCCTCTCTCAAAATTGTCCACTCTCGGACCTAGGGTTCAAAAATATTACAAAATGAAGTAAAAATCCGAATTACACAGCTTAAAACAAGTTGCAGATGTCGCATGTGCGATCCAGGAGTCATAATTGCGAACCCTCGCAAAAGCGAAGAAGCCTTCGCAACTGCGAACAAGAACAGGGCTGAAAAATGTCGCAATTGCGACAAAAAGTTCTCAATTGCAAACTGGACATCACAATGCGATAAAAATGTTCGGAACTACGACCACACCAGAAATTAACAGTCTCCCGACATGGAAATGAGCATATAACTCTCTCATACGATGTCCGAATTCGACGATTATTTTTGTTATGGCTCCATAATTACGATATAGATCTAATGGTTCAATAAAACTGAATTTGGAGCTCATATGCTTAATGTGATACCATTTATCTTGAAGAAACGATGTCGAAGCATCAAAAAACAAGCGCAACACAACCTAAACCTATCCGAAACTCACTCAAGCTACTTGGGACGTCTTATGAACATACCAACAAGTCCCGTAATACAACACGGACCTACTAGAGGCCTCAAATTACATCAAATAATATCAAAATTACGAATCAAACCTCAAATCGAACTTAATGAACTTTTAACTTCTACAACTCGCGCTGAATCATATCAAATCAACTCGGAATGAACAAATTTTGCATGCAAGTCCCAAATGATACAACGGAGCTATACCAACTCCTGAAATTGAAATTCAAACCCGATATCAACAAAGTCAACCCTCGGTCAAACCTCTCCACCTTCCAAAACTTAAACTTTTCAATTTTATGCCAAAATGCTTCAAATTATTTTACGGACCTCCAAATTCAAATTCGGATGCACGCCTAAGTCCAAAATCACCATACGAAGTTATTGGAACCATCAAAACTCCATTCCAGAGATGTTTACATAAAAGTGAAACTTCAGTCAACTCTTAGCGCTTAAGCTTCTAAAACAAGAATCATTATTCAAATTGATCCCGAATCATCCGAAACCAGAACTCGACCGCACATGCAAGTCATAACACATAATATAAAGTTTCTCAAGACCTTAAGCCGCTAAACGGAACACTACTTCTCAAAATGATCGATCGGGTCGTTACAAAAATACTCTTCGTCGTACCACCAAACTTCAACTTATTATATAGTGAAATACTATATAATAAGAGAAAGTCCCTGGTATGACAAAGGGCATTTTTGTCATTACAACGTACATAAAAACCTAACTTACATGTTGCTCATTTGGTATTAAATTTGACGTGTCATTTGATGGTTCCACTAATATGTGGACAGACCCACGTCAGTCTTCACAAATTGGTTTTTGTGAATTTTGTAAGCATGTTAGTCATTTCTTATTTTTATTTTCATTATTATTCACTCTCTTCCCCCCCCCTCTCTCGCGGTGCTTCTTCTTAAGCTATTCTTTATTTTATTTCTATAGTAGGTTTGTCTTTCTATGTTTTAAGCCTCCATTGCATTCTGGTAGAGAGAGCTCGGGGGAGACATGGAAAATTTTTTGTCAGAAAATGAATATGGAACAAAGAAAATCAGTGCAATGAAGGAAGTGAACTTTTTCAAAGACAGACAGTCAAGCAAGTTGTCTCACACAACAAACATTGAAACACGTGTCATCCAAAAATGACTGTATATGAATAACAAAATGCCATAAGTAACAACAATATTACAAAAATACGCTTCGTTGTACCACCAAACTTTCACTTATTATATAGTTAAATACTATATAATACGAGAAAGCATCTGGTACAATGAAGGGCATTTCCGTCGTTTGCAACATAGGTAAGAAAAAACTAACTTACATATTGCTCATTTGGTATTAAATTTGACATGTCATTTAATGGTTCCACTGATATATGGACAGATCCACGCCAGTCTTCACAAGTTGGCTTTTATAAATTTTGTAAGCATGTTAGTCCTTTCTTATTTTCATTTTCATTATTATTCACTCTCCCTCTCCCTTTCACTCTCTATCTTTGTCTCTCGCAGTGCTTCTTCTTCAGCTATTCTATGTTTTCTCTTTTTATAGTGGATTCGTCTTTCTCTATTTTTAGCCTCCAATACATTCTGGTGGAGAGAGCTTGGGGAAGACATGAAAAATCTTTTGTCAAGAAATGGATATGGAACAAAGAAAATCAGTGCAATGAAGGAAGTGAACTTTCTCAAAGACAGAAGGTCAAGCAATCTGTCTCACACAACAAAACATTGAAGCACGTGTCATCTCAAAATGATTGTATCTAAATAACAACATGCCCATAAGTAACAACAACATTACAAAAATACGCTTTGTTGTACCACCAAACTTTCACTTATTATATAGTTAAATACTATATAATAAGAGAAAGCCCTGGTACGACAAATGTCATTTCTGTCATTGCAATGTAGGTAAAAAAACCTAACTTACATGTTGCTCATTTGGCATTAAATTTGACGTGTCATTTGATGGTTCCACTGATATATATATATATATATATATATATATATATATGACTGATCCTTGTCAGATATATATATATATATATATGACTGATCCTTGTCAGATATAAATTGGCTTTTGTGAATTTTGTAAGCATGTTAGTCCTTTCTTATTTTCATTTTCATTATTATTCACTCTCTCTCTCCCTCTTTCTCTATCATTCTCTCTCGCAATGCTTCTTCTTAAGCTATTTTGTGTTTTCTCTTTCTGTAGTGGGTTCGTCTTTTTATATTTTTAGCCTTCATTGATTCTGATGGAGAGAGCTTGAGGGAGACATGGAAAATCTTTTGTCAATAAATAGATATAGAACAAAGAAAATCAGTGCAATGAAGGGAGTGAACTTTCTCAAAGACAGACAGTCAAGCAAGATATCTCACACAATAAAATATTGAAGCACGTGTCATCTCAAATGACTGTATCTGAATAACAAAATGCACATAAGTAACAACAATATTACAAAAATATCCTTTGTCGTATTACCAAACTTTTACTTATTATATAGTTAAATGAGAAAGTCCCTGGTAAGACAATGGGCATTTCCGTCATTACAACGTAGGTAAGAAACCTTACTTACATGTGGCTCATTTGGTATTAAATTTGACGTGTCATTTAATGGTTCCACTGATATGTGGATAAAACCATGTCAGTCTTCACAAATTGGCTTTTGTGAATTTTGTAAGCATGCTAGTCCTTTCTTATTTTCGTTTTCATTATTTTACTCTCCCTCTATCTTTCTCTCTTGCAGTGCTTCTTCTTCACCTATCCTCTGTTTTCTCTTTCTATAGTGGGTTCGTCTTTCTATGTTTTTAGCCTTCACTGCATTCTAGTGGAGAGAGCTTGGGGAAGACATGGAAAATCTTTCAAGAAATGGATATGAAACAAAAAAATCAGTGCAATAAAAGAAGTGAACTTTCTCGAGGACAGACGGTCAAGCAAGCTGTCTCACACAACAAAACATTGAAGCACATGTCATCTCAAAATGATTGTATCTGAATAAAAAATTGCCTATAAGTAACAACAATATTACAAAAATACTCTTCGTCATACCATCAAACTTCCACTTAGTACTATATAATAAAGAAAGCCCCTGGTACGACGAAGGGCATCTCCGTCAATGCAACATAGGTAAAAAACTTTACTTATATGTTGCTCATTTGGTATTAAATTTGACGTGTCATTTGATGCTTCCACTAATATGTGGACAGACCCACATTAACCTTCACAAATTGGCTTTTGTGAATTTTGTAAGCATGTTAGTCCTTTTTTATTTTCATTTTCATTATTATTCTCTCTCTCTCCCTCTCTCGCAGTGCTTCTTCTTCTTCAGCTATTCTCTGTTTTCTCTATATAGTGGGTTCGTCTTTCTATGTTTTTTAGCCTTCATTTCATTCTGGTGGAGAGAGCTGAGGGGAGACATGAAAAATCTTTTGTCAAGAAATGGTTATGGAAC